AATCAATTTACTAGCCATGACGAATAAATTCTGTTTGATAGTTCAAAATATTAAATTTAGATTGTAAATATAAAACTAATTGATGCTTAAACAAAAAAAAAATGACAAGAACAACAAAAAAAAAATAGAAATTGATGCTAAATCTAACTTATAAAACTAACTTAATAAAATGATACTAAAATAACTATAAATAAAAAGGTTAAAAAGATGTACTGTTATAAAAAATAAAGTTTTTTTTAATAACAATAAGATTATATATACAAAATTAAAAAAATAAACTATTAATTTCAATAAATGCTAACTATTATCAAAGGTAAGCATAAATTAATTAAAAATCTAATTGTAGTACTTAGAAAAACTAAAAAAAATAGAAAATTAAGATTCTTGTATGAATATACAAGCAAATTATATAATACTATAAAATATTATAAGGCCTACAATAAATTAAACAGATAAGCCCAAATCTCCACAAGAAGCCCAAATACTACTAGACCTCAATGACCCACAATAAGCCCAAAAAAAATCCTTTCCTATTTAATACACCTCTTCCCTTTAGCAACTAATCGGGCTTTAAATGTATCAATAGACCCATCAACCCGATATTTCTTCTTTAACACCCATTTACATCCTATGGACTTCCTATCTTCTGGTAAGTCACATAGCTCCCATACATTGTTTCTTTCTATTGAGTCAAGCTCCCTTTTCATGGCTTCCAGCCATTGTTCTGATTCATGTGTGTTCATAGCATCCACATAATTCAAGGGATCAGCTTGCTCATCTATGTCAATGTCTACCGAGAAACAGGATGGTTCGCATGAATACAGATAATAATCATCCATCCATGCAGGTGTTGTTCTGGGTCTTTTATTACCACTAAGGTTGACAGGTTGGACAGGTTCAGCTGGTTGATTTTCCATAGGCATATTCTCATTTAAGGGCTCATCTTCCATTATTGGATGATTTACTTCATCCACTATGTCCAGGTCATCGTTGGGAACATCATCTAAGTCTAACAGAGGTTGTACTGCCTCTTGAACTTGTTCCTTTTCCTCTAGATTTTCTAGAAAAGTAGCATCTCTACTTTCAATGACCCCTTTCTCTTCATGGAAGAACCTATATCCTTTAGACTTTTCAGAATAGCCTATAAATCTACACTTTAAGGTTTTGAGATCCAGCTTATCTCTAACTTGATATGGAATGAGAACATGTGCAACACAACCCCATTTTCTTAAGTGACTTAATTCAGGTTTGTGTCCATTCCAAATCTCATACGGTGTTGACTCGACTGATTTTGTGGGAATCCTATTCAAAATATAATTCGCAGTCAATACTGCTTCTCCCCAAAAATCCTTGGAGAGACCAGAGTGTGATAACATACATCTTACTGCATTCATCAATGTCCTATTTTTTCTTTCAGCCACACCATTTTGTTGTGGCGTGTAAGGCATAGTGGTATGTCTCTTAATGCCATAACGAATGCAATAGTTTTCAAATTCCTTTGAATTGAATTCTCCACCTCTATCAGTTCTTAACACCTTAATATATCTTCCAAGTTTCCTTTCTACTTCTGTCTTGTATCTTTTAAAACATTCAAATGCTTCTGATTTTTTGTTTAAAAGATACACAAAAATATACTTGGAATAATCATCTATGAAAGTTATAAAATATTCTTTATTACCACGTGTCTTTACACTTAACGGACCACAAATGTCAGAATGAACTAACTCTAAAAGTTCACTTGCCCTCTGACCTTCAGAAAATGACTTTCTAGTCATTTTCCCTGTTAAGCAGTGTTCACAGGGTAATGTCCTTACACCTGTCAGATTTGGTAACAAATTCATTTTAATTATCTGATCTATCTTTCTATTACCAGGGTGTCCTAGTCTCATATGCCATAGATCAAAATCAGATAAAAGACACGAGGAATAAAGCAAATCAGAATTCTTATTGCAAATTTCAGGTTTTACAACAGAAAGACAGAACAAATCATGTTCGGGTACAAACTTACCCATAGCAAACACTTTCTTGTCTTTCCCAATAGAGACCCTATTGTTGTAAAACCTAACTTCAAGGCCTTTCTTCAGGAGGGCTGGGACGGAGATCAGATTACGTCTTATGCCAGGTGTATAAAACACTTCCTTGAAAACCATGATGCTGTCCCCAAGATCCAATCTGTATGAACCAATACCTTCAACATCTAGGTAGGTATTGTTCCCCATGTAAATCCTTTGATCTCCCTTCTTCAGCTCCTTGAAGTCGCATATCCCTTCCTTCGTCTTTGCAATATGTCGGGTAGCTCCCGAATCAATCCACCAGCCACCAGCGTCAGTAGTTGCAGCATTGCACTCAATGACGCCGATGAACTCCCGCTTACCGGATCCTCCTTGTTCCGGGCGTTTGGGACCGCCCTTATTCTTCGCCTGTGGACAGTTGGCTCTTGAATTAAATCTATGCATCAAGAGCTGTATGTTCACCTCAGAGGTAGTGTCATACTTCTCTTTAATTGCAAGCCACATTTCCCTAGCCGTATTGTAGTTTTCAAAAACTTTGATTAAACTATCTTCCATGAACATTAACATTAAGCTTTTAGCCTTTTTGTCCTTAAGTTGCCACTGTTCAAGCTCTCTTTTCTGAGCGTCAGTGGGATCTTCACCAAGAGTTGGTGCAGAAACCTCTAGGACACTATCTAGATTGTCATGGATAAGTCCATACTTAATTTTCCTATGCCACATGTCATAGTTGGAACCATTAAGGTGTTCTATCTTAGCCAGTTCAGATGCAATCAATTTACTAGCCATGACGAATAAATTCTGTTTGATAGTTCAAAATATTAAATTTAGATTGTAAATATAAAACTAATTGATGCTTAAACAAAAAAAAAATGACAAGAACAACAAAAAAAAAATAGAAATTGATGCTAAATCTAACTTATAAAACTAACTTAATAAAATGATACTAAAATAACTATAAATAAAAAGGTTAAAAAGATGTACTGTTATAAAAAATAAAGTTTTTTTTAATAACAATAAGATTATATATACAAAATTAAAAAAATAAACTATTAATTTCAATAAATGCTAACTATTATCAAAGGTAAGCATAAATTAATTAAAAATCTAATTGTAGTACTTAGAAAAACTAAAAAAAATAGAAAATTAAGATTCTTGTATGAATATACAAGCAAATTATATAATACTATAAAATATTATAAGGCCTACAATAAATTAAACAGATAAGCCCAAATCTCCACAAGAAGCCCAAATACTACTAGACCTCAATGACCCACAATAAGCCCAAAAAAAATCCTTTCCTATTTAATACACCTCTTCCC